CCTACCACCAAATCCCTTTCTCCTTGCCCCTCATGTAGCCTAACCCACAATCCTTCTACTTCCTCATCCTTGGATTCCGTCTTGATGAGGGTTGACGTATATTGCTGTATGAATCACGCACCTTTCTCTGTTCTCTGAAGAAATAGTGTGTAAAATTGTGGGGAAAATAATTAGAAGTCACATCAAACGTAAAACCTAGAAAAGTCTATAGCAGAAGCCACCCTGGAAAAATAACAGTACTAAACCCTGACAATTTGAGAAGTCAAACAGAGTTACAGCAACATCTCCTAAAATCAAGCAGCCACTTTATTGTGTTGTTTAGTCTCTTTACATTGACAGTGGGAGTGCTGGAACCTACAGGGACTTATTTCTGTCTGTTTTGGGGTTTGCTTTCTTTTCAGCTTTGCCTTTTTCTCTTTTGTGACATGGAGACTCACCAGAGAAAAGTGAAAAATTTCTCACAGTATAGCATGAGAAATTTCTCAAACTGTAATGCTAATATTAGTCTAACAGAAAATCTTGCAAAGTGCATGTGAGGTGGGCATCACGAGCTGAGCACTGCACTGTCACGCGAAAGACTCTTCAGTTCCTGGGTTTGCCGGCGCCAAAGAATCATTTCAATTTAAACCAGAAAATATGACAGTAGAAAATGGTACCATAATCTATATTGCAGTACGTGCCATAGATAATGCCTCCTTGACCTCAGAACCATCTAATATAGCACAAGCTGCCTTGTTTTTGCCTCCAAGGCAATCGTTGCCTATTCCTTTTCTGAATAACAATAACCCTAATAATGGTGTTAATAATATAAGAGTGGCTCTCATAGCAACTGGGTCTGTAGTAGTTCTGTCCATGATTATAGGTGCAACCACATGTATTTTGCATAAGAAAAATGGAAGGAGAGGCACTGCCATGATAACTGTAAAATGAAAGCTGAGAAGAAATGTATCCTTAGAGGTTCTAGTTATAATTTTCAAAATACATAAAAGACACATATATTTGTAATATATTGATGAATTAGTTGCATTGACTTTAAAACAGATATACATTCATGTGCCTTTCTTGTCTATTTAGTTGTAGCCTTGCAATATGTCTCAGATTCAAAGACACTACATAGATTAAATACTAAATATCAAATCATATTCACTCAGTAATTCATATCAGTCAACTAAGAATAGTTTAGGCTCTTTAACTCTTATGTTGTTAGATTTCTGCTACATTATCCCTTGTTTTCTTTATTAGGTAAAGTGAGCATAATGTTTTTCTAAGGGCATGTACAGGTGTTACATTTCTAGCGGGAGAAATGCTGTTTTTCATCAAGAAACTGGGAGCACACAGGCATTCATGCAGTTTCCTCCACAGGAAACATCCTCTTTCAACCAGGAAGATCTCTCCTGTGCAAGAATTTATCATGCAGTAATAAATGCCTGTTTGCTTTTTCGCTGGGGACTGGAAAGAGCTGAGCAACATATGTACAATAATATAGACATTAACGGTTTTACAGATACAGCAGATGCTCTATTTTTATTTTAATATACCTTGTGTGGTGCATTGTGGTGCTGTTCTTTACCTCTTTTGGTAATGGTGAATGCAAGAGCAGGAGACTAATAAAATATCTCAGTAATATCCAGAAGTATGGTATTTTTTACTTTTTAGTTTTACTTACTCCTAAGGCTGAATGCTTGTAGGCTTAAGATGAATACATAAAGACAATACAACATTCTACTATTATAAAAGCGTTAGGCTGTCTGTCCATAATGCTTTATTCGCACTCTGATTGGCTGACTGAAACAACCAATCAGAGTGCTCCAAAAGTGTTTGGCCAGGAGATGGTGTGAACATAGGCAACCAAGCGGGGTGGGTTTGCGGGGGGAAGGCACCCTAGCCTCCCCCTCCCACAGCTTGTGGCAACGGAGCGGGGTGGAGTGGAGAAGCAGGGCCATTTCCCCTGCCTCCAACCAGATGAGAAGTGGGAGCGAGGACAGGCACAGGGGGATGCGGAGCCGCCAGGCCCTCACAAAAGCTAGCAGCAGGGCGGGGGGAGGTGCAGGGGATCGGGAGCAGGGGCATGATTATGGCACTCTGACACCGGGCCCTGCCAACAGCTGGGAGGGAGGGGAGAGGAGAGGGCAGGCACGTGGATGCGGGCTGGGCAGACCCAGAACGCAGGGGTTGGAGGGGGAAGTGGTGCCAACCCCGAAGTGGCGGGAGGGGCGGAATGGGCCCAGACTCAGTGGCGGGGGCAGAGGAACGGGGAAGCGGGGTCAGACCCTAAGTGTCGGGGTTGGAAGCTGGAGCTGGACACAGTCCTCTGTCCCCACCCCGCAACCCCGTCACTCTTGATGTGCAATTGGCTAGTCAGAACACAGGGATTGAGGAATTTGTCTACTTATTTTTTAAATGATTTTTTTCAATAATCTCCATCCCAGTGAAATGATGTCCATTAAATATTGCAGGAATGAAAAGGTTTCGTATGTGATGATCTGGCCATTCAGAAATATCCTATCAGTTGCATTAATAATTTTTTTAAGTTACCAATAATCCTTGAAATTTTTCTTGATAGTAAAGATGGCATGGGAGCCTAGCAGCATTTGACTCAGTGATCACAGTGTCACCACTATAGGAGGATTTTGTTTGCAGGTGCTCCTTCACTCCTGGTCTGGTGAGAAGACTGCAACAGGGGTAGGCAACATTTTTTGGCCAGATTGCCAAAAAACCCCCACAATGCCTATGTCCCAGGGGGACACAAAGGGAGGTCCTGGAATACCCTCCCATAGCAGGATCCGAGGCAGGGGTTCTTCTTCTTTTGCCAGAAGAAAAAAACAAAAAGCCCTAAGGAAGGGGCTCACTTATCTTCCATAGGATAAGCTGCGCCGTCCCAAGAGCCGCCGCTGTGGTTCAACATCTGCTTTTATTTGTGACTGGGAATGGCACTGGCAGATGACGTCATCAGAAACTGCCGCCCAGCTGATTTAAAAGCTGGCGGCAGGGAAACAGGGAGAGCAGCCAAACTGAAGACAGGAGGCAAAGCTGCTCCCCGAGTTGCATGACAGCAGGATTGCCTGCAGGGGGCCGGACAGGGACCCACAAGAAGGGTCCCGGCTCCCATAAAGGAATACACACCTAGCTTGTCATGACAGCCGGGTCAAGGAGGACAGCGTTGAGAGATCCTGATGACCGCAGACACCATATCCATGAGTTGGTTGGGCTGAGGCCCGAGCACCTTTTCCTTTTTTTTTCTGTTTTTCTTTTTTCTGTTACCATCTTAGAGGGCATTTAGAGCCTGAACTGGGGAAGGCATCCCCAAGAGACCCACAGGGTCAAGAAGAGGAGCGGAGGCAGCTCCGTGGGAGGTGGCATCTCGAAGAAAAGGTCAGAACAGACGCTGAGAAAGGACCGGTCCCACACCCTGTAGTCACCCAGGGCAAGAAGGGACAAGAGTAGGAGGGGACATCAAACAGACAGACTGGCGTTATATCATCCAGTTGTCCTGAGAGCTGGCGTACGGCTGGAGTGCAGGGGAGGTGGAGCCCCAAGAATGCCTGGAAAGGGCAGCGCACGGTCTGTGAGATTCTGTGAGAGGGAGTCCCACCACTGAAGGAAAGATCAAGTATTGGCAGCCGAGTGTGAACTGGGTGTGTGCTCTAAGGCCTCTAGAGAGCGCCTATATTAGATCCAATGGGTGCAGCCTACCTTGGAAGGTGCTGGAGTGCTGGCATGCCAGGAAAACATAATGAGGGCAGGGGGTATATAACAGGATGCCCTGCTCGTGCCCCTTTCCCCCCCACCCAAAGCCTTTGCCCTCCAGCCCTGCTGCCCCACACCCCCCACCCAAGACCCCTGCCCCCCAGCACAGACTCTATGTTTATTAGCAGTTACCCAGAACTTGGGCTAGATGCAAGCAGCTGCTGCCTCCGGGTGTTACTCAAATTGCCAATTGCTCAAATCACAAGCGAGACTTTATAAAGGGGGATAAGGCAAGGTGCCACGTTTATTGATTACATGAGTTAGACATAGAGGTTCGGACACACCATTCATACAAACACACACAAATCATCATGCATATCATTACACACAGGCATACACATACACAAAATGACCATTCCATCCACACATATGCCAGATATAGTTACCAGGAATGGTTGCTTAATATCAGCGCAGGGTGGCCAACCCGGGCTTATTGAGTAGATGATGATGATTTGAAGATAGCACATTTGAAGATAAAAGCTGAAGCGGGGTGAACAGATGCATCTGTGCTTCGATGAAACAGCAGTAGAGAAAGAGACTCACCCAACTTGGCATTTTCAAAGTGTTCTTTTATAGGGATTGGCATCCTTTGTTTCAGTGCTTTGGGGTTTTTCCATACCCAGCTTCTGTTTTTGCAGTTGTTCATCTTTTGTTTTCAGTTTATCTTAGCCTTGGAGTGTTTTTGTTGCCCGTCTGGCAGGATGCATTCTTTCTCCTCTTTATCTTCTTTGTGCCCTAGGCCTAAAAGGGATTCTTCAGCCATTCATTAATTAGTTTACTGACTGGTAACTTACATTTGGCGCCTTGTTGCTTACATGAACACTTAAATCTTCTCCCATCTCTATGCCATTCTCTCACCATTCACCCTTTTACACACACTTATACATAATGGCTATGCAGAGTTCATTCACTTATGTCAAGCAAAAGGATACAACACGGAGTTTTCAAGTTGCTTACAGGACGAGACTAACATGGTTACATTTCACTATTATTACACTCTATGTTAACATCAGCTACAATAGTTCAGTTCATGCTAATGGGCCCCGGCCTGGGCCCAACTGCCTCCCAGACCCAGAGCCGGCCCCAGGCTCCGGGGAGGCAGCAGATACTGGTGATGCTCCCTTCTGTGCTGCCCTCACTGCTGCTTCTGCAGAGCAGCGTTGGAAGCTGGCACGGCAGGGCACAGCAGGAGGTGCAGAAAGCTGCCTGCTACTCCGAGCTCCCCGCTGCCCTGGCAACACATCCCCTGCAGGCCGGGGCAGCAGCAAGGAGCAAAACCCTGCATTCTGCCCATGCTGCTCCCATGAACACAGGGGAAGTGTGTGTTCCCCTGCAGGCAGCTTCCCTGTGCAGTCCCTCTGTGCGCTGCTGCTCTGGACCCAGACTCTGTGCTGTTAAGTAGGGGGTAGGGGAAATGGGGCTGCAGTTCATGGGAGGGGACTGTGGGGGTCCCCTGCCAGGCCCCACCCCCTGCCTCCTCCCCCAGCCCCCGTGAGGGCCCCCTGGCCCCTGCCTTCTATCCCAGCCCTCTCTCCCCCCATGGCTGCCCTCCCCAGCCCCAGGTCCCAGTTCTTTAAAGAAATAAAAAATAAAAAGCCCCCATTCCTACCAGGTGGGGGGGCCATCCCAGGTGCCCCCCATGGCCCCACACTGTGGGGTCCAGGTTCTTTAAAACCAACCGAGGTCCTGGTTCTTTAAAAACAAAACACAGAAAAAAGCCCCCATTTACCAGTTGCTGCAGCAGCAGTCAGGGCTTCTGGGGGCCCATGCCAGAGCCCCCCCTTGCAGCGTGGGGATCACCCCCTGCCTGGCAGCAGCTGGTGAGTGCCAGGCTTTTTTTTCCCAAAGAGCGGGGACCTGGGGTCAGGCTGGACAGCCATTCACAGGGCTAGGAGAGTGGGCGGGGGATGGGGCCTGTCTGATTTGAAGATTCAGCCGATTTGGCAGCGGCCAAATCTCCGAATCAGATTCAGCTGAATCGAATCGGGACAGTGATTCAAATCACCGAATCAAATTACTGTCCCCGAATCGGCCAAATCCAAAGCAAATATTAGCCAATTTGCACAGGTCTAGTTATCAGTTCTTATACATTATTTACCTTACAGAATGACCTACAGGACCCAATTGAAATTGAAACATCACCATATTAAGTCCTGTTCATGCACCTAGATGGAACACATTTGCCCAGATTGATTGCCTAAATCAGACTTGGCATTTAAAAAAATAATGCCAAGACTAGAGGCGGTCCAGTTTTTAAGGCTGTCCAGTTTTTTTAAGGAAAATGTTTCATGTCCCCAGTAAAATCAGCCAAATCAATTCCAAATCTGTGTGAATCATTCAAGAACCAGCTGTGACCCTGCTACCAACAAGCATCCTCCACCCCCACCTGGGGCTTCAGATGCTTCCAAATACTTTGGCAGACATTCTATGTGCAAGCCCAAACCCAGAGGCTTGGGGCTCGGATGCTCCCAAGTTTTGCTTGCCCTCAGCCATATGGCTGCAGGAGCAAGCTAGGGAGGAGTCTTCCATTTCCATTAAGTCAGCATATAGCCGAGATCTGCCCACTGGAAGTGAAAGTGGGAGGCTAACTATGCATTACCTCGGTCAGGGTACTATCCCCTGCCACATTCATTGTTTTCCCCTGCCAGCAGGGACACCACCTTGGTGGTCATGATATTTCCCCTGCCAGGGTCGTACCAATGGGGGCCACACACCATGTGGTCACAATAATGTACGCTACAGGCCCCCACCACTCCACCACACATACAGGAAGCTCCCCACCACTCTTTTATTAAACATACACACACCACCCCTCTCACTGCACTGATCTCACAGGTGAGCAGCCTCCCTACTCAGCTTACCTGCTGAGGGCTTCATCACTGTGGGCTGTGCCAGGCAATACCACCCCTGGGGCAAGCACAGGGAACAGAAACCAGAGGGGAGGCCTGGAGTTCCTGACTGAAGCCGGAGGAATAGGAGGAGTGGCAGCTGAGTGGGAGCCAAGGTGGGGCACAGATTAATCCCCATTTTAAATAGTGCAGTGGTCACTTGACCTCCTGCACTCCTGGGCAGGAGGCACAGATGATTTGGATACTTCTGCTTCCTGAATCCTAAGTGCAAGAGGACAGAATCCACTGACTTCACTGCTCTTTATTTCTGGCTTATTATTGTCAGAATTGTGTATGCCAAAGGCTATGTGGTCTGGGACCATGGCATCCGCAACTGCTGCACAACAGTTAGCAGCACAGAATGAATATCTTTCATGTTAACTTGAATTGACCTTCTAGTGAGTGCTAAGTGCCATCCTCCACACCCTTGTGATGATGATGATGATGATTCCTGGCTCTTCCACAGTGCTTTTCATCACAATGTCTCAAACTGCTTTACCAAGGGGATTAATTTCATTATCCATGGCTTAAAGATGGGGAAACTGAGGTACAGATAAGTGAAGTGACTTTCACACCCAATGAGGGGTAAGGCTGGAAAGAGTCCCCTTGGTCCCAAACCAATGCTCTAATCACTAGAAGACACTGCCTGCCAAACGCTAACCCTTGAATTTGGTATACTATTGCCATCAAACCCTTCCTTTTCCAGTACTCCCCTGGTTTTCAAGCTCCAGAAGACAGCCTTTAATTTTTCAGTTTTCTAGTCTTGGCATTATTTTTTTAAACATAAGTATTTTTCCCCCCCAAAATTCTCACCTCTCCAATTTACTACTTTTTGCCTTCAGATGCTTTAAATCGATGCCAGTACTTTATTTTATTCTTTTACAAATTTTTACTAATTGGTTCTCCTCACGTAACTCATTCCCATACTTTACAGCTAGGTTGAGAATCATTTTACTTTATAGTGGACTTTATTTTAATCTTTATGCCAATCTTTATGCTTTGTTTTAATCTTTATGCCAATTGTTCTTTGAATATTTCTACTGCCTATGAGCCTGGAATGACTCTATACAAAAGACTCCTGGGCCCATTTATAGCCCCTCTCATTTTAGCAGGGCTCCACGTGAATGTTAGACCCTGAGTCCATGCGGTGCCCAGCGACTAGGGAGATGATGGTCCAATTGCTCATGGATCCTGGTACTCATTAGCCAGAGCAAGTAGGGAGCAAACACCAGCACACATTGCTCGCAACAGCTTTATTGAGAATGGAGACAACTTCGGACAAGGGTCCCTCACAGACACACAGGCCATGAAAGAGGGGACCTGCACTGAACAATAATTATTTTCATATTTTGTACACCTTGGTTCATACTCATTAACATTGTCCTGCCCTCATCCCTCCTCCTGTTCCACCTATTTCTCCTCCCATCTCAAGCTCTGCCTCAGTTTAGTGTTTGCTTCATTAGCGTAGAATTGCCTATGCATTTCCTTCATTTACATTCCTCTCTCCTAAGAGCGCATGTGTAAGGCCATGGACCCAGGTACTCTCGGTCAATCACTGGTTCATTCTGGTTCTTCACTGATTCCTTCTTCAGCTCCAAGGTCTTGCTTCCGCTTTATCTCCTGACAATAGCTGGTGGGCTGCATCTTGTTCCCCTTACACAATGGGCGTTAATACTATGACTTTGGTTAGAAAATTGCTTGCCTAAACATTTGCAAGGTTATTCTTAAAATATCACC